TCGCGGAACTGTTCATTTTGAATTGCTGAAACCTGGAAAAACTGTTAATGTAGACCTTTATTGTGAACAATTGGATCGAGTGAACCAATCTTTAATCGAGAAACATCTGGCAATTGTCAACGGAAAAGGCATCATTCTGCAACACGACAATGCAAGGCCGCACTGTGCAAGACGAACACTGGAAAAATATAATGAATTGGGGTGGGAGGTACTGCCATAGTCACCCAACATACTCGGCCGGTATCGCAGCATTGGATTTCCATTTATTCGGATCCCTACAGCATTTTCTTAGTGGCGAAAAAATTTTTTTAAATTTGGATGATGTCCAAAATGTCCTCTCGAGATATTTTACTCAAAACCCAATTGATTTTTATCGCTCCGGGATTGAAAATCTGCACATTAGATGGCAAAAGGTTGTTGATAACGAGGGTGATTATATTATTAATTAAAAATAAAAACTTGTTAAAAATGTATTCGTTTGAATTTAATGTAAGAAAGTGACATTACTTTCCGGTCCCCCTATTGGTTTAACATACAAATGCATGCTTATACATACAATAACATGCTTTTCTGAACTTAATATTACACTTACAAAAAGATTTCTTTAAGCTGTTCTAAAAGTTTAAAGGCAGTAATTAATTCTTTAATTGTGTATGAAAGAGTTCTTTACCTCTAGAAACTCCACAGCAGAAGATAAATTGTCTAAAATGTAAATCGATAACTATTGTTATGATAAATCTAAAATGCGAAGGTATAGTATATGAGTTAAATAATAATTTAATTTAAAAGAATTCAAATATACACGAAAAGAATACCTAACAAGTAAATTAAATAGAAGATAAAATAAAAAAAAAAAAAAAAAAACATTCAAAGACCAGAAAAAGAAGTGAATGTATAATAATTACACTCACGTTTTGCATAGGTGTAGACGATGGGTCATCTTCATCTCTGCCAAACGACATCAAAAGATATGAAGCGTTGAGCCAAGCCTACGGATAAATACCGGACAGAAATTATCGTGCATATTAATTCCATATAAGTGAAGCTCTGCTATAACTAGAGTATCGGTAGACAAATCTGTAACAAAAGTGAACATTTTAATGGACATAAATTAAATGAACTAATCTGCTGTATTTGAAAGCTAGATTTTTGGAATGTTTACAAAATGGTAGAAAAGAAATAATACGGAATTAAAGCAATTATTTCATTTTGTCTTACAGCGAAACAGAAATGAGTCCATTTGCTTCATACCAGAGGAGTACATGCACATATATAATTATAAGATTTTTGAACAGTGAAAAACTTCATTTATCATATAGTGTGGTGATAATGTAACTTTTAATAGTTGAGCTAAAAGTTCCTGTTGTGATTAGAAGTATTGGTTTTATATTAAGGGTACTTAAAATAAAAGTCGGTTACAGCGCCCATCCGGGCCGCTCGGGTGCAAATTAAAATTGGCTACCCTTTTTTACAAACCTTACGCTTTAAAATTTTAAATTAATTACTATTGGACACTTGGAAAAATTATCTAAATGGAATGGATGAGAATCAGAGAGAGAAAAATTTTTTTTAACTTATTGCTTTTATTTATTTCAAAATTTTTTTGCTTATTATTATTATTTTATTCTTCTCACGTGCTGCGCCCTTAGGCACTACGCGGAAAGCGAGGGATACTGCGTGGATGTCCTTTTAAGTGAAACAGGCTCGTATCAACGTTGCACATGGGGCAAACCATGAAACCTCTCATGCAGCCAGCCTGTTCCCCGGGACTCGAACCCTAGACCAAATTACCAGTTTTCAGTGGCATTTACCGCTTGTGGAGAAGAGAAAAATATTGAAATACGTATTTTATTATCGGAAGAATACAATCTTCAGCTATATAAGGTATTTTCTCCCTGCTTTCCGCATGCCTTCGTGGTGTTATTGGAAGCACACTCGACCGGTACTCGAGAAGTCTAAGGTTTTAATCCCTGCGAGAGCACTGCACATTTTTTCACGTCTCCTGCTTCAAAATAACGTAATGACCTACAAATGGCTCCCAATATTTCATTCTCACTAGGATTTGGTGATTGGGTACCCTCATGGCCTTTTTCAGTCAGGGAAAGAGGAAGAAGCCTGAAGGAGCGAAATGTGGGTTGTAGGATGGGTGGGGAAGCTGTGCGATGTCATGTTTTGGTCAGGAAGACCATGACAAAGCACGGTATATTGTCGTGATGGAGCCTTCATGATCTAGATTGTTGGCGACTCGTTTTCAGAGTCTGAGGAGGACGCAGTTCAAAAGATTTCGCCCTTTCGCTAAGTTTTCGTCATTTTCTGTCGTTGAAATTTGTCTTGACTGTTGCTGATCTTCAGCTTGCTCTATTCCTTCCCAAAAGAATCTATACCACTCAAAAGCACTTGATCGACCCATGGTATCATTCCTATAAGCCCTCTTGATCATGTCATGGGTCTAACTTACAAGGTTTACCCAGTTTGACACAAAACGTCACCGCGCAACGTTACTCTAACAGTCGATATATCTTGGAGATACAACATTCTTTCCCATTGGCTTTGACATTTGTTGTTTATTAAGAGCGGTTCCTTTTTTATTTTATTTCTTACCTCGTATTATTCAACGGCATTTTAATAACAATAATAGAACTCGTATAAGATACGACTCAGAACACAGTTTAAGATGTATCCTATACCAGTGATATGACCCTTTTATGAAATAGCAACTCCATCATTGGATTTTATTATGTAAGATAAATAACTTCAGTATTTTGGATATCACTTTTTTGTTTATTCATCTCTTTATAAAATAACTTTCTTTTCTTGGAAATTTTTATGCTTCTTTCTACTTATCAATGTTTTATGCTTAATGAAAAACATTATATACGTAATACCATATTACTTTAGAAAATAGCACCATCACTTTTTACAACTACAATTATTTTCTAGGCATTACAGTAATGCTTGACTGTTTCAAATTCAAGTAATTCTTATTACTTAAATTTTTAAATCAGCTGCTAAATTTTTATGCCAAATGAACAGCAATAAAAATTGCCTACGCTTCTTCATTGTCTCAGTTTATGGACAAAACTGTTAATCGCTCTTTATTACTGAACTCTTTGATTTTCGAAAAGCACACTGTAAATTAACTGTATACTAACTCCTTGAAAACAGATCGTATTCATTCCATAACAGCAACTACAGGCAGTGCGAGATGTGTGGATACAGTGAAACTTCCATACCGCAAGCATTTACGACTCTAGACAATTTTATTGTCCTGTGGTGGTAGCCTGCTTAAAAGGGCGATATTCAGTATTGACGTTTATTTAAGTATGACCTGTACAATACACTTGTTAACAGAAACTGACAACTAATTCGAAACCAAAAGTATGGTTTCCATTCTTCTTAATTCTTTTTGTAGGTATTTGTCTTCTGAACCCTGTGGTGCAGTTTGGACAATGTTTCGTCAGGCTAGTGACCGATGGAATCGGCTGTTATCGAAGAATAGTTTAGAGGGGTAGTCAACCTACCTCCCAGTTTATATGTAGTAAAATTGCCTTACCGCCCACCGTTTCCGCAGCAACTTAGTTTAGCATTAATGCAAAGTAATTTTTGGAGTCGAGGCATAGTAAAAATATGCATAGCTAAGCTTATCCATTTATTTATACTTTGCTTATATTTATAAGAGGCAGAAAATTTATGTTTCGCGTAGCTAGTTAAGACATCTATTCCAGCGAAACTGTTTCGGCTAGGACGCTCAAAGTAGGAAAATGAGAAGTTCGTTTCTCGGAAAACTTTCTCCTAGCCTCATGCTTTGTGAAGGTGGATAATTCCACTATGCGCGATATAATAACATAAGAACACCTAAGAGAAGTTGCAAAGCCTTATAAATATACGGAAACAGGAGACAGCAGCTCGGAGGAGAACGGAATCCCATCGTAGGATGGGCAAAAGCCTCTACCGCCCACCATTACAGCTTAAATCGCCCACCTGTGGGCTGTAGGGACCAGGTTGACTATCCGTCATTTAGAGCAAGAGTGCAGTAATTAGAGATGGTTTGTTTATTTGCGTTCTATAAAAATAATGGCCGCTTTCTTAGGTAACCAATTTGGAAGCAGCTTACCACGAGAGATTTTTCCGTATTTTATTCAATGAATATACTGCCGCTGGCATCGCAGAATTTTGTTCAAACGTAAACGAAGTTTTATCATTCATATAAATAAAACACATTCATTTTTAAACGAAAATACAATTTTTTGCTTTGAAATCTAGATAGAGAGGTAAAGTAGATACTTAAAAAAATGACTGTTGATTTTAATAAGAAAGAAGAAAATGGTTATTACCGACAGCTAAATTCATTCTGTTCACTAAACTGAATTGTGTTTTCTTCGGTACCAATTTTTATTTCTTCTTTAACAGCCTGTTCTTGCAAAATATGATAGACACCACATTTGTTGTCGCTAAATGCATCATTATTTAAATCAAAATCTGAGGATGTAATTTAGTTTACAATTATCCTTCTGAAAAATCTCGACCGTTCCTAATCGCTACTATTCTAATTTTTGTAAGCCTCGCAACAGGTTTCTTCTTCACTATTATATGATTCATTTAAAAATTGCTCTTTTATTTTTCTTACTGACATTGCAAAATGTTAACAAAAAAAAAAAAAATATTTCAACCATTTGTCACTACAGAAAAATGTTTGGGAAAGAAGAAACAATTTTTAATTTCGCACACTTTCTTAGATATTTCTTTCTTGAGGAAAGATTTTAAATTGAATGCATGTCCCAAAATGTTTCGTTCTAGACATTCTAAACTCCTAAGATCGGAAACAACTAACTCATGGTAAAGAGCCGCTCTTTGCCTAAAGGAGATTTTCTTACAAGCTCGAGTGACAATCAACGTGTTCACATGAAATAAAATTGTGGAACTGAGTTAGCAGAATTTGTAAAACATTATAAATCTTTATAGCATATTAACATTACTAATTGTTTCATTTCACTTTTCAGGAGAAAAGCCAGCAGCCATGCAGCATGATGCTAATCCTGGACATTCACTGTCGTGTCCATTCCAACCCCACCGAATGATCCACTGGTTCGTCACTCTGCTGTGGTTTATCGTGAGGTGACCAAATCATATCATTCATCAACAATAAAATTTAACCACTGATGAATTTTGTGCTATTCCCAAACAGACATTTTGCTGCCGTAGGGCTAAAATATACCAAAGACGTTTTACACATCGTCTGTAATATTGTAAGTGGCTCTGCTCTTTGCTGGATTTCATTTAGAAAAGAGCATTCAGTTAGAGGATTCATGTACTCGACGTCAAGACTGAACTTCTTTAACTGCATATGATCTCGGTTTAAAGTGTAGAAACTTTGTACAACAGATCATATAAGAATCACATAAATAAAGGGAATATAAATTAAAGGTGCTTTAGATATAAAACTTCGAACAGTGTATTTCAAATGCAATCAATTGTTCTTTCTATAAGACTACTTGGAAGAACTTTGGAGCATTCTTGCACGTCTGGAAACTTCAAAACTTGCTCACTCTCATGTGTAAAACTATTCTTCTGTTAACTATGCTTGTTTTAGATCAGATAGTTTTGAAACCATTCCATCAACTGTAAATTACCGAAGAACTGTGGAAGATGGAAATACGTATAATTATTTTTTTCTTCGTAGTTAATATATACAGAATATTGGGAAAAAACATTTTAAAACAAATATCAACAATCCAGCGTTCTTTATTTGGCTTCTTTATTTTAAATAAAATGTTACGTCAGAAAAACAACGTGGATTGTAAATGTCAGTCAAAAGGCAAAGAGTGTCTGAGAAGGTAAGAATATTAGAATGAAGTTTAAAATTAATTGTTATGTGGAGTTAGTTTTTCAGTTTCCTGAAAGTATTCTTTTTGTGAAATGGATTGTAAGTATTAAAATAAAACTATGATTTTGTATATTAAAATTTTCTTTTTAATAAATTGAACATTTGGAAATATTTAAGCACACCAATGACAATGATTCGTGAATTTTTACAAATTTAAGCAGAAAACAATTATATGTTAAACAATTTTGTTGTTCTAATTCGTTACTATGGCAACTTTCGATGAAGTTAATTCGGTCAAAGTTCAAGTTCTTCATTCAAAGTTTAATTAAAATTGTGCGAACTTAATGACTATTTGGAAGATTCACATGCACTATAAAATTAATAAAGAATTCTAAATTCTCAGATTTTTCATTTGCAATTTGGTATTCGTATTTAATATAATATATTGATTATATAAACCTATAAATATATCAACTATTAAATCTAAATTAAAGTTTGGAAAAGAGTAATTTTGTAAGTACAAAATACGTATAATAAGGTAAAATACATATAATAAGCTATAATAAGGCAAAATACGTATGAGGTAATGCGTATAATATGAAATGAGATTTACAACTAAAATTTAATTTTGAAATCAGGGAATTTTTTAAATCAGGAGAAATCTCTTAGATCCTTTATGATTACCTAATTCTTTTTAATACCACAAAATTTTAAATTGTGCTTATAATTTATTTCATTATTTTAGAAGTTATTTTTTCTTGAATAAATTTATCCATTCGATAATAAAAAAGGGTTATTGTATACAAAAGCGATTAAAACTTAACAATCGTTAGAAAATTCTTACTAAAACTTATAAGACTACTTTGCCTTCTTTTGCAATCAAATATTTTCATATTTGAAATTAAATAATAATGTGAATTTTACGAAAAATTCATATTAATAAATTATCTTTCTGCATTAGATATTTTCGCATAAATGTTCACCAGTGAAATATAGCAGTTAATTAAAAATTGCAATCTCTCACTAAGATTACCTATTTTTATTCTAATAAAATTTTTAGAAAAAATTATCACATTTTAATGTGGATTCTAAAGTTGCAAATTACAGTGAATATACTTGAAAGCCACTCAAGCATGTTATTCTGTTTGAAATGGCTTTGAAATTTAAATTTTCGCGCAATGACTAATAGACTTACTAATCACAGAATTACTAATAACTACAGACACAGTGATAACATTTTTACAAGTATACAATATGATCTTCATTTAATTAGTTTAAAATATTACTTATTTTTTATCCAGAAATGTAAATTAAGTGACAATTTTGATTTCAAAGCGAATGAAAAATGTAAATCTATATTTTTAAATGCTGTTGTGAGATAAATTCTCCAACTTAAC